ATCTGGAAAATGGAGAGCTTTGTAATAGCTACATGGTCTCCCAAAGTGATCAATCAAGGTTTCAAGAGGGTTTAGACTGGTTAGTTCATTTTCAGTTCTGGTTCTCACTTTTTTTCACCACAGTTTTTCCTTATGTGAGAATGTATGTAGCAGTTAATTAGGTACAGTTATGGGCAACGTAAACATTGTGGGAACCTTTCACAGGAATAGTTGTATACATTCAAATAAGATGTTAAATTTGCCTCTAGGAGCAGAGATTGGACACCTGCTCAGCAAGATAGTTTGAGTGCACTAAAGCTACAAACCATTCTTTCTCTGCTGCTACTTATCCTGCGAGGTAAATGGGCATCAACTGTATTTGTCTGGAGTTATAACTAAAGGCCTTTCTTTCATTTTAATGACTGTCTATTTAGGGAGCTTTGGCTACCAAATTGACCTTTAAATTTGGAGCAGTTGTGAATATGAAAGCTAGGGACAGAAATTACACATAAACCGGCTTAAGTGATTGGGAACCGGTTTAAACCTGTAACACAGGGGTGGGCAAAATGCGGCCCATGGGCCAGATGCAGCCTGCCAGGCTATTCTATCCAGCCCCCTAAAAAATTTAGAAAATTAACATTTATCTGCCACTGGCTGCCTGTCATGCGGCTCTCGATGGCTTGCCAAAACTCAGTAAGTGGCCCTTAGCCCAAAATAATTGCCTGCCCCTGCTGTAACAGAACAGAGGTTCAGTGCAGTTAAGATGCTTTCAAAATGGCTGAAACTGGTTTAAGATAAACCTATGTGGATGTAGTATCAGACTTAACTGATTTAGGTTAAACCGGTTTGTGGAAATTCTGTCCCAGCTCCCTTCCTGATTCAAGTTAACTTACAGCTCTCTAGCATCCCAGGATGTTGTGCAGCCCTGGGTTGTGCTCTCAGCTTCAGTGGAGCAGGGTAGGCCCTGCCCACAGCTGTCGCGTGGGCTCTTCCATCTCTTGCAGTTGAGAGCCAGGCTGATTCCCCTGGCCCTGCCCCTACCCCCTCCTCTGCCTGGGGGAGCAGCCTGGCTCTCAGCTCTGGCAGAGAGTAAAGCCCCTACTATGGGCTTCCCCCACTGTTCCACTGCTGCCAGGAACAGCCCAGTTTGGGTCCGGAGCCAGGCAGGTGAGGGAGGCCGTCCCCCCCCCCCCCCCCCC